TCCAGATGTTCAGATCATTATCTTAATTTTAGGACTAATTTATCCTTGAGGTAAACCCACTAGAGTCTTCTATACCTATTTTTATAACTAATCTAGATATTGCTATAGCAAAACTAATACTTGCAGTTAAAGCTTAATTATTAAACTGCTATGCCCTTGTAGAGTTTACTTAGATCCCAGTATCTACTTCACAGCATAACTTCAGTACTTTAGTATACCTCTGAATTTTGTCAAACTCCTATTCAGATGGCCTATATAGGATTATAACCAGTCTATTAATATATTAGATTAGCCCAATATCCTTTTTTTTTAGTTCATTCTAACAGCCTAGTTGGTGGTACCTTTGAGACTTCCAACTCAAAGGTTTTTGCCTGTCTGGTTACTAAGACCTAAATATCTGTTTTTTCAAGCTAGTTTTTACAGTAATGCTATTGAAGATCCAGCTATTTTTCTACTTAGATCTTTCCAAATGAACTTCTTGTTACTTAATTTTAATGGATTTACACAGCTACAAGGACTTATCTAGTGTTTGCACTATCTAATTTGTCAGTTTGCAATTTTTTGTGTAACTCCAACATTGCATAAATGCTTCATAACTTGCCAGTTATACTGGTGTAACTGCTATTACAGATATTCTAACCTAATCATTAGTAACAGTTGCTATAATATGAATATTACATAGGTGATTATTCAAATTTTTGCTGTTGATAGAATTTGAACACTTAACCTACTACTTGGAGGGTTGACAACCTGACTATTTTACTAGGTCATTACACCTTATCATTATATATATTATTTTATAGGTCTTATATAACAACATATACTTTTTTTATTTAATTATTGCATAGTATTGTATATAAAAGTATGAGTATATGAATAACCCATGGCTTTCAGTTACTACATAATTATTATATATTTTGTAAAACACATTTTATTTAATTTGATCAGCATGGTCACAATTATTTCTTTACTATTTAAATAATAAGTATTTAATTACTTTATTATTATAATAATTACATACTTGATTCTAACTGCTTATTTAAATTTTTAGGTGATTTCTTATATTGGCCCAAACAGTAAGTTATCTCTCTAATTCTTAATACAATTGTATTGTTTAAATTTTACTAATATATATGTGCTTTCTAATTTTTATTTTATATATTTCTTCTAAATTTTCAAATAAATTAGTAGTTTAATTTTAATATTAATAGTTTATATAGATTCATAAGTGCTTTAATTTCTTTTTGATTGCTTAGTGCCTGTTTATACTCAACTTTAATCTGTGTTTAATTTAATAATAGTTTTTTAGATTATTAAAGTTGATAATTCTAAGTATTTAGATATAAATTTTTATTACTTAGCCAAAAGCATGTAAGACAAGCCAAAGCTCCAAAGTCATTTTAAGAAATAAAACTGATTTAACAAACTAAGAATTAAGACTTGTTTTTTTTTTAGTAATAGTAAGACCTGTAAAAGAAAAAAGTTATTTAGATAGTATTAATATTGCTGAAATAGAAAGATATTTGCAGACAAGTTTTGCAAGAATAGAATAATCAGCTTTTTTTGAGGTCTATCACTAAAGTATATCTGTTTCATTTAGAACTCTTGGTAGTAATAAGTATAAATTAAATTCACAGTTAGCAATATCATTGTTATTTTGACTTGAATGTCCTTGATCTACAAAACTAGAAAAAATATCTTCTTTACTATTTATTATACTACTAGGTGCTATATCTGATTTATAATAATTAGTAGCAAATTTAAAATATTCTATATATACTTCTAAAATAGTAAGGTTCTTTTTATTTTCTGTAATATTTGTATATTCTTAGTTTGCAAATCAAAAAAGGCAGCAAGTTGAATTGGTTTTACTAGTTTTGAAAATTATTCTTGAATTAATTTAAGAAAAAGACTTTTAAATTTCTAAATATTAATATTATTTATTATCATATAATCAAGTTTTATTTTAATAAAATTAATTGCAAACCATGTTTATGAAAGTGCTGGATATTGTAAACCAGATAATTTTTTTGAAATAACCTTGTAAAAATACAATAATTTAACCAACTTAGCTATTTTTCCTATTTATCCAATAATAGTTTTTTTTTCCATAACTTTTCAGAAAACTATTATAATTAATTTTAACTAAAAAATGACTTATATTTGTACAATGCTGGCTTAAGTACTGTTAACTGTTTTAATAAATAAAATATCAAATTCCATCTTGTTAAAACATCATGAACTATGAAAAGAAACTTATTTTAGTCTTTTATTTCTATTTAAGCTTCTAAAAGAAACTGCTTCTGCTTTGGACTTTACTAAAATGTAAAACAATACTTTTATATTTTCTAATTAAGTTAGTAATTTCAAAATATTCTTTTAATGCATTATTAATTATAAGTTGTAAAGTATGACCAAAATAATAAATTTTAAAAAATCTATATTTTTGCCTTAGTTTTTCTAAACATGATTTGATATTCAATCTATTATCAATTATACTACTAACAGTAATATGTTTAAACTAAAGACTATCTAATTTTCAATAATTTTATTTAAAAGACATTTAGAGATATAGGAATATAGAAGATATGAGATGTTACCAATCATTTCTTTAACTTAAAAACTATCATTAATCTAATAAAAAGTAAGACCAATATAAGAATTATCATTATTTGATATTTACATATCTATAGTAAATAAAATAAAACTAATTTCAGTACTATTAAATATATATTCATAAAGGTTTTGCAGAATTTTATCTTCAGAATTAATAAGAATTTTCTTTAGATGATCATAACTAAGTACATTAGCTTAAGTATCAAATTCTTCAATTATTCTCTTAAATGTCTGTGACTAAATAATTAAAAATAGCTAAAGTTCTTTAATAATAAAAGCTGCTATATTATAATCAAGATTTTTTTGTTTTGTATTAGTAAGTGCATATTTTTTATTTTGTTAAATGCTTGCATTATTATTGTTTAGGAAAATTCTAACATTACAGAAAATTCACATTTATTTTTTTCATTTATTACAATCTTTACTCATTCACCTTCCATTATAGCTTATGAGATATAATATCTATTTTTTAAATAACATTATAAATTTGAAGTAGAGTCATCCTTTAATACTTGATATATGGATTACAAGATTTATAATGACAAAACCAAAAATCTAAATTATTAACTAATTTTGTTTTATAAAATAGTTTAACAGAACTACTATCCAGTTTTTTAAAAAACTTTTTTTTGACTAAAAGTTGATTGCCAGTTTGCAATAACATAGAGGACTGAAGTGATTTATTATTATCATCTGTATTATCAAATTCTGGCCTATCTAAATCAACATTTTTAGGCTTTAACACTATATCATCTTTAGGCTCTAGCACTATATCATCTTCAAGTTCTAGCACTATATTATCTTTAGGCTCTAATATTACATTTTTAGGTTTTAACATCATAGTTTTCAAATATTCATTATTTATCATTTTTTTGTTTTGTTAATTCAAAATCTGCAGTTTTTGATGAATTAAATATTATTGAATAATATAATAATTTAATATTATTTAGCCAAATTTTATATATAATAAATGCATGTTTATGATATACTTACAAGATTATAATATTTTTATTTTACAGTAAAATAATGATAATATTAATATTGCAAATAAAGATAATATTGGCAATCTAAAGAGTAAAATTTAAGCATTAAAAACTTTATATATATGTGTATAATGCAAAATCCCCATTAATCTTAGCTAATTTTGAATAATGTGCTAATGTTTTACACTTATCTAATTCAGCCCAATTCTTTTGGCTTTAACTATCTTATAAATGCAATAACATTCAAAATTCCTAATTAAAACTAACAAAAAAAACTTTTTTATCAATAAAAAAATTGTAACAATTTGTAAATGTTTATATTTTAAAGATAATTTGTTATTTTAAATATTAAGACTAGTTGAGATTATTTGATGATTTGTTTTTTCAAATATGTATGAACCTTATTATTTTTGCTTATCATTATTGACATATAATTTTTATTTAAGATATATTTTTAATCGAATTCTATAAATTTTATGAATCCTGCATATTATTATTGTTTTTAAATAATAGTTATATGCAGAATTCATAAAATTTATAGAATTTGATTGTCTCTTTAATTTAAAAATTATAATTATAGCTATTTTTATAATTCTTGAAATACCTTATA